GGGGCCAGAGCAGCCCTCCTCACTGTGAGGATGTAGCACATTTATCCAGCATAGAGCAAGGTGTCGTGCTGAAAAGAAAAGCATGCTGCAGCTGAACCTAAGACCCTGTTATTGAAAAGAATGAACCGTATTAAGGTGTAGACTGCACTTAAGCATTCATGGCAAAAAATGATTTATACTGACATGCAAATTTAACCAGATGAAGCTTTTGATTATTTCCCCTATCTTTTGGTTTGTGCTATTTCCCTGAGGTGGAAAAATGCTCTTTGCCAGTAATTCATTATAAATGCCCCAGCCATTCCCATTAGCTACAGCAAGTCTCCACTGCACTGCTCAGTATTAAAATATGCACAAACTTCTCTCCAACTCACCAAAACCAATTTTTTAATCACTCTGAGAATTTAATCACATTTCAGTTCTCTTGGCTATAATCAAAGTGCATGCTTCACACAATATTTACTTTCTGTGCAGGTACCAAACATGTATAAAAATCTATTTTACATACAGAGGACAGTGTTAGCTGAATGCTCTCTTAGGTTAAATTATACGTAAAACTCTGCACGGAGTATTATATCAAAGTGCTCCTTAAACCTATGCTAACAGTGTACCAAATGCATCAAGTAAGAAATGGCAAAATTAAGCCACATACAACAGTACTATTACCTTATAAATATTGGACATCCTAGCATAGCTAACAAAACCTGCATAAACAACTCTTCCTAATAGCCATCCTGCAAAAGGCTAAATGCCCTGAATTTCCAGTAAATGAGTTGAAAGGCTGTAGGAGGAATGGACAGACTGGACCCTACCACACATGGTCAGGGCAAAGGATGTCTCCTAGGTAAGGGCTCTCTCCAATCTACGAGAAGCTGTAAACTCAGTGACATATGACACAGTAAATCAAATGATTTGGTAAAACACAGGAATCCACAACAAGACAAGATTGGAAACAAACTCTCTTCAAAATCTGAGCTGCACAGCTCCTGAAACTGGCCAGGAGGATGCAATGAGCAGCATGTATTTAATTTTACTGTTTCTGACAATGTATCCAGGCTAAACAAGCACACAATTACCTGGGCCGAAATGGACTGTGGAAGGAAGATGCATTTCACTGACAATCATTAAATTGTTTTGAAAACTCTCACATGATGATTCACAGAATACACATGGCTAGATGCTCGCAGGCTGCTTTTTAAACTTGCTGTATTTTGGGTTATGTTTCAGCCTATGCACAGCCAATTCTCTTCACCTAAATACACACCTTCCCTGTAAGGAACTTCACTCAGCTGCTGCTCTGTGTCTCTGAGAGCCTCCTCTGTCACATCACCATCACTTTAATGAGAAAGCAATAGCTCTAGGACTATGCGCCTGACAAACAGATCCTTAAAATATTTTTTCACTCTTTTGTTCAAGACAACGAAAGAACACGAGGAATTCCAAGGGTATGAAACCTGAAAAACTCAAGTGTAGTGTATATGGTGGTCATCTGAAAGACGTGGTCATTCATAGAAAGAAAAGTAACATAAAAGTCACCCTAAAATCCAAAGGGAATGATTCATGGTGTGGTTACATAAGACAGCGGTGCCATAACACCCTGTAAGTTATGTTGCAGCAGTATGACAGTGGTGGAAGGAGGGATGAATTCAACCCTGTGTTTTCATTTTAAATGGATGCTCAAGCACCAAACAGCAGCAAGAGCTCTGCCTTCAAACAGCTCCTGACAAGGTCCCTCCAAATAAAATTGTGAGGGTGGGTTCAGCTTGGGAGGTGCAGTAACAAAACTCCCATCAACTTTGGTAGGAAACTGACTGCAGAAAGAAAGCATTTCAAATGTGATGTTCTCCTGTGACATGGAGACGTGTGTTCCAGCCTGTGTGGAGAGGATGCACACACTGCTTGGAGCAGGGCGAGCAGCAGCAACACAGTGCACTGCCAGGAGGACCAAGGTTGCTTCCTTTCCCTGCAGTCCAGGACTTTCAGTGTGCTTCTACAACAAGTGTAGATAATTATATATTTATTTCAAAATAATATCTTTCTTTTGCTTAGTTGAGCTGCTGCCTTGTCCCCAAGGAGCTTTTATCATTACATTAAAGATCTTACTTTCGTTCTAACTGACAGATGCCGCAAACTATCTATAAACCCTGCCAGCCAACTACAGATATCTGTTCTCTGCAGATTTATTATCTATCACTGAACCCCCCATGGAACAAATTCACCTGACTACAGTCACTGGATCAGAAGCAAACCACACTGCAGGCTGCCTCTGAGGTTGAATACTTGGATCCCCCTCTGCACAGACACAAGTGCTAGAGTCGCAACGGAACTCAAAGCAAGAGATCATGACACTTCTCCCTCCCTATGACACTGCATCATTAACGCTAATTTCATTTCTCTCTGGAAATGGTGCAACTATCTGTTATAGTTATCTACAGTTTAAGTACATTTCTATTTTCCCCTATTCTCTTGCTTCAGGAACTTGACAGAGTTTTGTGGGGCTTTTGCACTTGATCAATCCCATGTTGCCATCTGTCTGCTCCTGACAAATCGCATTCAGGAACACATCCCTGTAAGGGCTTGGAAACCCTCAGGATGTAGATGGATGTCACTTACTTGAGCTGATCTGTTCCTCAGACTCCCTGGTGGCATTCCTTGAACAGGTGAGTGTTCAGCTGGTATAAATCAGCTGAGCTCTCTTGGGACTCATTTACATCAACCAAGAGTACAGCACAAAATACAGAGCTAATTTCCCATGCATCAGACTGTCAGAATGTATCCCTTGCTGAAACGACCATTATCAGCAAAAGAAGTGCTAGAAACAATTTTAAAATGGTGCTGGAACTTTGATTCTGGCAACCTTTTCACATAGCATGTGAAGTGGGGGGAAGATGCTCCTCACCAGCCCTTGTCCATTCCTCAGGCTCATTGATAGAGCCATGAGTTGGTTTTGCCAAACTAGACTTTCTTGCAATTACTGTAAAGGACAAAACAATGAATTCAGAAAGCAGCAGGGGTTAAACCCAAATTATTGAGAACTTGAGTGGCAACTTTCTCTGGAAAAGTATATAAAAATTAAATGGACAGCTGACTTTGTGTAGAGTATTTCAGAGTATTAATTTGGGATACAAGACAACAGAAGTCTGTTTAAGGCTTTGTCAAGTCCATCAAGTTCAAGAAGAATAAAAGAATAAATGTAAGGAAATCTAGTTGCCTAATAAAGAAACAAAAATGGCCATTGTTACTAAGGGGAAAATAAGAGGGATGTCACCAGTTAATTTTGCAATGGCATAAACTACTACATTCACAGGTGCTAAAGGATTCAAGGAAGACACTCTTCATAGCACCATAACCCCATGAAGAACTATCTCTGACCAATGATAGTAATACAAAATACAATTGAAGTGAATCTCTGAGCTCTGCCTAAAATGCCCATCAAGCTAAAAGTTTGACTCAGTCTAAGTCAGTCTAATTCTGTCTCTTCTCCTCACGTCTAGGGACATTAGAAGTGATACTTCATTCTCGCAGTCGACCCTTTGACTTCAGGGTTATGTCTCACAATGAGATGTTACTGTTCTGTTGTAGGTGAATATTAGCAGAATCCATCCCCATCCCATTGTCTTAATCTTTGCCAAAACGGACCTGATTTTTCCAGAATGTATGCAATGAAAGAACCAATCTGCTCAAATCAAGAGCGTTCCCTGGGCACAATGGAGTTCTGCTTTATGTACCAACCTCTCTATCCCACCCTGAGACATGACTCAAGGTGACACTCCTCGAGGCAGGACTGAGCCTACAGAAGCCACAATGGCATGGCACAGTGCAGTGCTTTCTGGGCAAGTGACCAGCCAGAAAGGACCATGACGGTGTATATTGATGTGAATGAAAACACTGTGCAGTCAAAGGTACACTTGCAGTGCAAATGTAAATGACACTGAGCAGTCACAGGACTGTGACTACACAGGATTAGGGGACTTTGCACGTTCTGGCTGTGTGGCTACAGCCCTGCAAACAGATCTGTGGATTAACCGCACTAAGCAAACAGCCAGAGTAAAAAGCAAAGCAGAGTTTGATGCTGTTCACAGAAATGTTACTTTGTCCTGCAGCATAACCAGGTCTAATTTGGTTTTGCTCTGGCAGATACCAGAGCAAAAATATGCAAAGCTGCCCCTTGTCCCAGCTTTCAGGTTTGTGAAATAAATGAGAGATTTGAGTAAGTTTACTTAATTGTTATCAGTATTAAGGGAATCACTTGTAGAAGATAATAACTCATAGTAGATAATAAATTACATTTTCCTCGATTTTCCTCCTTGGGAAAAAAATCTATTAAGACTTTATAATTAAAACTCCTGAACATAGTTCAAGTAAATGCTTTTAATTGAAAAATGGCCTATTTTTAAAAATGTAGTGGGGTTTTTTTTTCATAGATACACTGTTTGCTCTCGTGAGAAATTCGACTGAAAATTATTAACTGACATTCTACATCAGAACTGCTAATACCATAGTTCTTTACTTACTCAGACACTTGAAGCCATAAAATTTCTGTTTGAAAGTCCTGGCCAAACAAAAAAACATTACTTTCTCTAATCTCTTTGAATAACAGTAACAGAGATTATACAGGAAGATGTAAATGTGTCCGTGCATGGCTGTGGTACACAAAGTTGTCCCTTCCCCTATGTACATTGCACTGATTAGCCTACTCAGTCCACAATGACTAAGAGAGAGAATCTTTTCGGTTTGGGCTTTTGGTAGTGGGGTTTATTTTGTTTCATACTTCAGGATCTTTAGCTTGCATCAAAGGCACCACAGTTTGATGTTGTACATCCATATGTACTCATAAGGGTAACAGAGTAATAAACTAGAACCAAACTATCACCACTACACTGAATTTTCTGTCTGATCTCATGTCTGTACGTTATAAGCAGATTCCCTGGAACAGTAAATTATTCATTTAGTCGATTCTTAGCACAGTTTCAGTGAGAACAGAATTAAAAATGTTTACTTACTGATGTATATAGGTATCCTTCACTGTTCATTGCCAGATATAATTTTGTTTGAACCCCCTGAATCGCCACCACTCGTAAACCCACAGGTATGAGGTTAAACAAAGCTAGGAGAGAAAGGAGATGGAGAGGACAATTAATCCTTTAGAATATGCAGATTAGATAGAAAATTAAACCATAATTGCCAGAACCAAATAAAAAATGCCTATTCATGCATATATTAATTTCTTTGGTTGCTACAGAGCTACTATCATGTTCTTTTATCCAAGTTCCACTCATAGCTCAGAAACTGTCTGAGGGGATCAACATATCTCCCTCATTTTGAAGATGGTGAATTAAAAGTACTAACAGCTGAAAGGACTTACCTGCCTTACGAGCAGAATCCAGCATCTGCTGAGTAGAATTAAACACACTTAATTTGGTTTTGTTTCTTTTTGGCAGCAAGTGCAAAAAGAAAAAAAAAAGGAATCCAGAAACAAACAAACAAAAAGTTTTTCAAGACGATCCAAACTTTTTTTTTTTATTTGCACATCAAATTCAGAAAACATTTTGACCAAAAGAAAGGAAGAAGATGAAATTCAGAAAAGTTAAAAACCTTCATTAACATCTCAAAATGTTTCCACTCAAAACTCATTGGGGGTTTATTTTTCCTCTTTTTGGGAGGAGAATGGGTTTGAAAAAACAGAGTTAAATAACTTCAAAATGAAATGAAATGACAGCATATTCTTTAGATCAAGCCTTGAATCTGTGCTTTCAAAATTGAGCTGCTTCGAATGTTCTGCTTGCATTTATGCTTGTATACATGCTAATAGTGGCAGTATTTATAAGCAGAGAAACATCTCTTCAAAAAATGAAGATTCCGGTTTGTAAAGTGGCAAATTAAAGAAAAAAAAAAAAAGCAAAGCTCTGCCATAGCTTGGATTCATGGATACACTAAAATTGAACACAAGCAATAATGAGTTGAATACAGTACTCTGTGTTCAATATGTTGGATTGAAAATAAAGGGGAGTTAAGAAAATTATAACCCAAAGCATCTCCTTCCAGTCTGTACTATAAATGCAGAGATAGGATAAAGTAATGCCAAACTGACTCTCATTCCAATGATTTATGACTTGGCTGGAAAACTCTGGTCTGCTTCAGGCTGAAGTTTCATATTTATGGTCACTGTCTGAAGCCAATTTAAAACTGAATTATGAATTTGAAATATTTTTATTCTTTTCAAAAGTATAAGCTAAGAATTATGACCATTATAAATTCTTTTTTCAGCCTGAAAAAACCCCAAATGGTCATATTTTATTAAAAAAGAAATTACAGCTTGCCAGCATTTATTACAGATCCTAAATTCTGAGTGTGGGGTTGTCAAGAGTACATTGAGTACCCTGAGGCTGGGGTATGTTTGAGCACTGCGTTTCCTACAATGGTTGAATGCAGCAGAACAGGTGGAAATATCCAGAACTAATAAATAATTGTAGGAGATCATAAAATCTGTGGTTTTCTTTCTCTCTCACACCCACTAGTGTACATGCAGACACCAACACACACACGCAGTCCCTCCTCACACTCGCCTCAAGCACAAAATCAACAAAAATGGCTTTCTTTTCACTAAAATAAAACCCTCTAGTTCTGTGCAGTTTTTGGCAAAAGAAACTTAGATTTTTCAGTAAGGGAAATGGATTTTTCATTAATTCTATCAAATGCCTGAGTTTATTGGGGGGAGAAAATATTCCCTGTCTGACTCACTAAATACTCCCTTGGAGAGCCCTTTTTTGCACTTCAGCCTCAAAAAGCATTCTCTGATCTCTATGTAGACTGGAGAGCACAATTTAAAGCTCAATATCCAGGCAGAACCTGTGGGTCTCTTGAAAAGTGATTTCTGAATGGCACATTTACAAGTAGGGCAAATGTTTGGGTATTTTCAGCCCAAGGGTCTGAGTATGGGCTCCACTGTAGATAGTGCTATGAACCTGGCAGTAACCAGCTAAGGCCAGGGCAATGCCTGGCACAGTTGAGAAGACACAGCTCACAACCATGAGTAGCAGAGATAGGCTTCAGTGAGGGATTCCTGGCTCTGTTGTGCTGGGCAAAGTGAGCAGACACAAGGCTGAGCAGCTCCTGCCAGAAAAGGGCTGGGGCACCCACTGCACTGGGTGCTCAGCTGCTTCCTTCAGCAGTGAAACATGTTTTCCTGCCACAAATGTACATGCTCTATTTTGAGGCAAGATGAGGGTTGGGCACACTGAGAAACTGGTTAGATATTGATGGGACGAGCAGCTGCTGTGGCACAGACTGTTGGAATTTGAGAAAGGGCTGTGGGGGGTAATTCTGGCTCTGCCGAAGCAGAGAGGGAGCGGCTGGTGGAGGGTGTACAGCCACCGAGTCCTGTGCCAGCACAGCCAGACATCCCAGCTCAGCTGCTGCCTCCAAGGAGAGGGGATACTGACACCGCACCAAAAAAGGGACTGTCCCCTTTAGCAGAGCCATTATTCCCACCATCCCTGCACAGCAGCAAGCTCAAGTCTGGCTTCTGGAAAGTGAGTGGCTTGTCCATGTCAGTGAGTGCTGACAGGGCCCACAGCAGAGCCACACAGCCCCATCTCTGCAAGTTACGGACAATGGTTTGGAGGTGCTACTGCATTTCTAGGGGATAACCCTCATGTGGGCATGATACGACAGAAAGGGTGGCAAAAAAGCCACAGGAAAATAGATTTCATGCTACTGTGATCAGTTGGTGTTAGCATAGAATAATGCAAAGTTATTTGCACCCTAGTCTTTCACTAGTGCATTTGTGCTGTTTAAAATAAGGATGGAATATCGACCCTAATGAAAAACTTGGTGATGCCTAAGGGATAGATGATCTTTGCCACGACCCTTGTGCAATACAAGCTGACAGAGAAATAAAGCTGCAAAATAAGAGGCAGCAGGCCACAGCTGGATTTATGAATGCATACGATACTGTGAGGTCTGCGCCAGTCTTGGCTTGGCCACCTGTACATTCATATGCTTTTTGCAGGATAATGTTTCCTGTATTTCCTTACTCTAACAATCTTGAAATCTCTTTGTCTTGCCAAAAGTGGGGATTAAATTCTGTCTTGATTTAAACCCTTGCCCTACTCAACATATTTAATGAGGAAAAATCTGTTTCTCAGCCAGAAGATCCTTTCCATGAAGCACTTCCTCAAATCACACGGACCTTTGGCTAAAACCAAGATCTGGTGAGTGCTATGGCTCCTTAAATTCTTGGTTTACTTCCTGCCTAAATTGTGCTCCAAATTCTCAGCTTTCTTTTAAACTCCCTGCAGTTGTGGATGCACCTTTGTGTTCTGTGAACCCTGAGTGCAGCAGTGGGTCTGCAGAGCTTGAAATAATTGCTCCCAAGTCAGGAGCCAAAGGGTAATTTCAGGCAAAGTTCCACCAGGCTCTAGGCAGCAAATGATGGAGAAGGGGGACTCCTGGCCCCAAGCTGCTGTGAGGAGCACAAAACACAGCTGGCTATTGGGAGCTGCAATCCCTCCCCATCCCTACCATGCACAGGGAAGAATAATTGGTATTGGAGTGAGACACAAGTCCTGCAGCTTCCATGCAGTGTATGAACATGGACTAAATGAGCTATGTCTCTGCAGATACTGGAAGTAGGGATTTTAGAGGGCCTGATCTACTAAACATTCATGTGAGCAAGGCTTTGGAGGTAGGCCTATATGTGGACTCTGATCCACAGCATAAATCAGTCTGCCTTACTATCTACATTAAAATATTGCAATTTAAATAAATTCAGGACTGCAGGACATCCAGGTCCACCACTTACATACGAGAGGAATACGACCTTTTTTGTAGTGGTAAAACCCTTCTCTGTTCTGAACACTTGCAACCAGTTCAGGGATACTTCCATTATATTTAAGCAATCAGCATTTTGGAAGGCTGGTATCCAGCAGCAAGGAGTTTTTATGATTTGCTTAGTAATCTGTCAGGTTATGGTCAATTTAACGACACAGTGAAAACAAAGACATCTTAGAAAAAGACATATTTGTATTTTCATAAATTTTACCTTGTTTCAAATCTCAGAATCCCTATCAAAGTGACTTCAAGCCAAGTATTTGGATGAAACAATCAAAAAAATATTTCAGTTACCCCAAAATCCTGGATGATCTGTGCTGGCTTTTAAAATCTTAAATATCAAGTCACTCACTTGAAAGAAAAGCACTGTTTAAGGTCGTAAGGAACATTCTTAGGGTAAATTTTGTGGCTGCAGTAGGAGAACTCTTTCAGATGGCAGAGCCAACAGCATTGCACCTATCAGGTCTTTGTGTCACCTTCATTGCAGGTGGTGATGTGACCTCAGGTGTCCCCACAAATTCTCTGTCCCCTATGGCCAGTACCTAAGGGGTTGCAGGGGGGACCTTCTCCAGCAGTGAAACCAGCTCCCTCCTGTCCCTCAGAAATTAACACAGGGATGCAAAAATGTTTACAGAGGCTGTGAGAAAAGGGTGGGAGCAAGTGAACGGGCAAATACTATACGATATTCTTATTGCTGGCTTTGCCATATTCGAGTGCCCTGTAAAACTAAACAATGCTACACCTGCAAATGGTTTTTGTATTAAATTATGGCACTTAAATCAGTGCTTTTTATTAGTTAAGAGGTTTGCCTGTTGATTTTATCGTTTTTCATCTAGGTGGCCTGAAATACCTCCTTGTACTCTTTACAAAAATGTAGTTTAAGATAAACTGCAGAACTATGTGAAACCCTTAAACATATTATTTACACACATGAAATCTATTCTCTAGCCATCTCTTCTATTAATTCTTAAAGTACTAAAGTATAGCACAAACCAACAACCAAAAAAGTCCAAAGCTTTTTCGCAGAAAAGCTGAGGGAAATTTCAAAGCTGACGGTATAATTAAGTTTAGAAGGGGTAAAAAGTAATAATAATAGAGAAATGTGAACTTTAAAATGATGGTGAACTCTCATTGTGTGAAATAACATGGCTCTGTTTGAATGAGCCCCTGTTTCAGAGTGGAGATAGCGTTATTCTATTTCAGGCACGCTGAGTAGGCGAGCAAATTTTCCCTGTCGAAAAAAAAATCTAATAAAATCCAAAGGACAGCCATGAACTTCTCTAGATTACCATGGAGATAACATTTGCTTTGTTTGTCACATGTGTCATCATTACCTCCTCTAGTTCATTATTTCTATAAGTGATTTTTATCTGTATTTCTCTCAGACCCAGTAAGTCTGAAGGACTTCTGCACTGTGAGCACAGCATCAGTGCAGCTTCCACTCACTCAACCATCCCAGGACAACAATTCTGAATGGACCTAGATGGGAAGAACAAGACACCACAATTCACAAACACACCATTTATTCTTGTGCCACTTACTATAACTACTGTCCTCCTCTTTTGTTCCATCAATTGTTCCATCTGCTTGCAACTGCAAGTGGTATCCTTGCCTGCTGTATAGCTTTGTTACTATACCTTTAAGCTGAGGCTCTGCAAAAAAACAATAGTGAGATTAATGTGGGAAATCCTGATGTGCTGTTCCAAGTGAGCAGGATGCTAAAAACAAATCTCCAGGTTTCTTCTCAAGGCTGAGAAATGAAAAAGACCCAAACCAAAAGCAGGGCTACCAGCTTTGCAACACTTTTCATTTAGGATGAGGTAAAATTTATGTCTATGAAATCAATTGTCAAAATGACTAAATGCCACTTTCGACTGCAGTGTAGTAGCACAGTAAAATCTACTTCCAGTGAATACAGATTCCAACAATGTGCTGCTTGGCCTCAGGAGCTCAGCCCTATCACATTTAAGATTAGAAATGAGCTGGCAAAGAGTGCATTCTGTCTTTTAAAAAGGTGTGAGTTCTTAAATGGAGAGGAAAAAGAGGACTATTATGACAGTACTAATAAGAGCCATAGTGACAGTTAAGAGCCTAAATATATAGCAGCAAACGTTTAGCACAGGAACTGCTGCAGCTCCAATAAACAAACCCCCATTCCTTGCTGCTCCAAAGAGTACAGAGCATCCGAAGTGATAAACTACTCAATGAACATATGGAAAATGGAGGGGGGAACCCTGAAATCCAGCAATGTGTGGAACTGCAAAATAAATAGTACCATAAGGGCTGAGGTAATTACCTCATCAGCTAGAAGAAGAAAGATCAAAACAATGCATAGTTTGGATAGATTTCTATTTTCATAACCATCCTCAGATTCACAGTTCGAAAACAAGATATCTCATATGGTTTCATATCATTCTAGACCAAAAAGTATACAAGAGCAGGATCTGCTGTCAAGTGTGTCTAAGATATCTAGGTAATGCACCAGGAGTAATTGCAACAAAGGTCTACGTCCACTGAATCCCAATGACATCTGCATTGTAGTCATTCCATACAATTATGTTTGTCAGGAGCTGATGCATCCCCTCAGCTCACTCCACAACATCTTACTTTATTCAGAGATAAACACACTGTGAAGATATGGCATGTCATTTCCAACAGTCAGTGTCTGGAAAAGACTCCTTGTCTTTGTAATCAAACACATTAGGGAGCTATGCTACTGTACTTCATTTCAGTAGGGGCCAAAGACAAAAGCTTACAACAGTTTGCATAAGTGTATAAGTTCTTATTAGCAACCTTTAATAACAGTACTGATGGATGCACAACTCATCTATCAACTTTTCTGACAAGAAATTATTTCAACCCTCACTTTTGCTTTTTAACCATAATCCATCCCAAAGCTGTTTGCAAACTGTGAGTGAGGCAGCTCTTCTGTGGCTGCTGGGCAAGGTGGTCAGGTAGAGTGGCTAACAGCACCAATGCCCCAGCACAGCAAAGCAACAGCAACATTACCAGAGGGTTTTGCTCCTCCCATGTATAAAACAACCCACTCAGATCAGAGACTGAATCTCCATGCCTGATCTTTTGCACCTATGACACAGAGAGCATCGTGTCCGCAGGGAAGCTGCAGGTATGAGATTCCTAGAAAGGAGCAGGGCACTGAAGCAAAACTCTGAAAGGTGCCAGCCAAAGCAAAAAGCCTTTCTGCAATCAGCAGATAAAGCACAGCACAGACATTCTGCGAAGCAGGACAACAAAAACAGATCTCTAGGCCACTAAGTTATTTAGCAAACAACTGAAGGAGTTGCATGTGTGGGAACATCCCCTGCCAACATCTCCCCCACAAATAAATTACGTGTGTTTGCGTATGTGCATGTGTAACAGAGAGACTCCTGAATTGCAGGTACATGGGTGCACACAGGTGTGCCAGTGAGGCAGACAGCAACAGCGTGTTACCTACGTAAACCAGACGAACATGAGAAGGGAAGAGACTGGCATGGGGTACCCATGTCTATCAGACCATAAAAGCCGGGACTGGCAATACCTGCAAGTTCATTTTACCAGCCCTGAGACACTAGTCCCCCTTTCCCCACACCTAATACACATCCCAGTTTCCATTAAATTAAAAAAAACCCAACCCCCCAAAGACATAACCCTTGCCAACCTGGTCGCCTTCTTCGCCTTTTCTTGGAGCCAAAGAGTTTGACCCTTGAAAACACATTCAACTTGTTCTTGTCGCAGCTTCCCTTGCTCTTGCTGGGGCTGTTGACACACTTACAGGCATTGGACTTCTCCCGCTCCCTGGCTTGTCTCTTCTGGCGGATCAGGGAGCTGGCGATGGCTGCAGCCATGGC